TTTAGGAACACCAAAATGTTTTATTTTACATCTATTTGAAGTGTGACCTTGTTTCATACAGTAAAAACATGCTTTAGATGTAGCTTTAGGATAAGATGTATTTCTAGCAATAGATGTCCTAGTTCCTTTTTCTACCCATACTTTTTATTTTTCCTTTTAGGCTTTTTCAAAGGAACTTGATAATTTACACTATTTTGAGCTAACACAATTTTATCCTTCTTAAAATCACTTATCTCCTTTTCGGCTTTGTCTAGCAAATGGTTAAGAATATCTATGTCATATTCATGCTCTTTACAAGTTGCACATGCTAAGATCTTATCATCATTCTCATTTAAACATACAATTCTCGTTTCTAAGGTTTCATTTTCCTCTAAGCATGCAATTTTCATTTTTAATGAGTCAACCTCCTTTTCGGATCTACTTAAACTCTTCTTCACAACTTTATATTCATTTTTCAAGTCCTTAAAGGCACTAAACAATTCATTATATGCATTTTGCAGTTCATCATAGTTATTTTCATCATCACTAGAAGATGAGTCGGAATCACTTACCTCAAAGTCAGAAGATATGTTGTCATTTTCCATTAAGCAAATATTTGCTTCTACTTCCGAGTCACTTGATTCCGAACTTGAATCACTGTTATCCCAAGCAATATAGGCTTTCTTCTTGAAGAACTTTTTGCCTTTGATTTCGTCATTTTTCTTGTTTGGACATTCGGTCTTTACATGTCCTGCTTCACCACAACCATAACATTTTATATTTACGGAAGTACTTTCTCTTACCTTTCCCTTACCTTTGAATGGATGCCTTTCTTTTGCTTTCATGAATTTGGTGAACTTCTTTATCATAAGACTCAATTCTTCTTCTTCATTTTCCGAGTCTTCTTCTTCCTTTTTATTTTTACCTTTGGAAATTTCGGTTTTGAAAGCTAAGTTCTTCTTTTGATATTGTCCTTCTTCTTCATTTATCCTTCCAAGTTCAAGCTCATGTTCTCTAAGCTTTCCAAAGAGCACCGCCATAGACATTGTGGAAAGATTTTGTGACTCCGAGATGGCTGTCACCTTAGGTTGTCATTTCCTATCCAAAGATTTTAAAATTTTAACATTCAATTCATCAAAGTCAAAGATTTTACCTAATCCGGTGAGATGGTTCAAAATATGAATGAAACGCTTTTGAACGTCGAATATAGTTTCGCCTTGTTGCATTCGGAGCATCTCGTATTCTTGGATTAGAGAATTTTTTCGTGCTCTCTTAACGTCGTCAGTACCTTCGTGGGTCACTCTTAGCATTTCCCACATCTCCTGAGCACTTTTACAAACAGAAATCCTGTAAAACTTGTCAAGGGTTAAAGCAGATGAAATTATATTTCTAGCCCTAACGTCAAATTGTGCTTTTCTGTTTTCCTCTGTTGTCCATCTAGAAAAAGGTTTAGGAACGTCAACACCGTTCTCAGTAACTTTAGGAATATAGGGACCGTTTAAAATAGTGTCTCAAACACTTCTATCAACAGACTCTAAAAAGATTTGCATTCTTACTTTCCAGAAAAGATAATTTTGACCCGCAAAAAGTGGGGGTCTGTTAATAGACGCACCTTCGGCAAAAGTTTGATTTTGTCCGGCCATTTTTGAAAAGTTTGAATGACTATCAAAGCAAGTTCTGATACCACTTGTTAGAATCGCGCAACGGAATGTTCGCGTTGTCGGACAAAAACCAAGAGGGGGGTGAATTGGTTTCTTAACAAAAATTAGGTTTTCAAAATTTTCCCCAAATTTTACCGATTAAAAAGTTGTGTAAATGTAAATAAGATAGAGATAGAGTCTTACACAGGAGATTTATACTAGTTCGGATCAAAAGACCCTACGTCCAGTTGCTAATCACTCAAACAGAGGATTAACGTTGTCACTATGATCAAAGTTGTTACAAACAGATAACAATTGAAAATACAAAGTAAAGAAAACACCTCTCTTGAAACCCACAAAAGATGAAGAACAGTTTTCCCCAAAGACGGCACAACACACAATCCACTAAGAACTCCACTTAGTGATTCTTATCGCTTTTAGCCCACACCAGGTTCCAAATGCCCCTTTTTTCTCCAACAAACAGTTCTCTGGCACTCACAGCACTTAACTTTTGTTTGAAAAAGGTTGTTCAATTTTCTGAGAGCCTTAGAGAACCTTAAGTAGAGAAATTAGGGTTTGGGAATTGGGATTTTCGGAACTAGAGAGTATTGGGATTAGGGTTTTCGAAAATAGGGTTGATTTGAAGTTGAAAATCAAAATCTGACTGAAATAATCGATTAAATGAAGTGTTAATCGATTATTACAGAGCCAAAATCAACAGAACCCCAAAACTCTCTGTTTTAATCGATTAAAAGCCCTGTTAATCGATTAACAGGTGTGTTAATCGATTATTACAGTGAACAGATACAAAAAATGGTTTTTCTCACTGTAATAATCGATTATCTGACCATTTAATCGATTAAAGCCGAGGAAAACTGATAAATGTGAGTTTCTGAAGCTTCTAAAGTGCAAACTATGTACCGGCTATCTTAAACTCTAATATTACAGACTCAAACTAATCAAAATAGAGTTATTACACTATAAAACAAGTCTTCAACTCTCTAAGTTCTTTGTTCTTGAATCATCATCAAAATTAACAAGTTTCATGTCCATGTAAGTTCAACGTCAAGTCCTTGAATGTTCAACAGATAAATATTGCAAATAAATAAATAAAAAGGGTAAAAGCGTAATTTCTAAAAAATCTTTATTTTATGAATTAATCCATCATAGAGAACCTGAAAGGGGCACTGTGGGGTGCTAACACCTTCCCCACGCGTAACTAACTCCCTTACTCGACTCTGGTTATAATGGCCAAAGTTGGTTTTTTTAACCAACACCTTTTTTATCCTTTTTCAATGTTTATGGTTAAAACATTGGTGGTGACTCCATAGAACCCATTTTTGCGAAAACCTCACTTTTAAGGTTTAGTTCGATTATCAAGCATTCTAAAAGTGATGACCAAACTATTTTACGAAAACGCAAGATTCAGCCATCGCGTTGTGACTACTCGTACTTTTCGTTCCCCGCAGGGGAGGGGGGCAACAAAAACTAAGTTACGTGAAACCATCATTACAGCATTAATACTGAATTATCATCTAACAAGGTTTGGATAGTACAGGACCAATACCCTATATTAATAAAAAATAACAATTTTATCTTGTTAAATAATTATTTAATATTATTTTATGTTAAAATTTAGGATAATTTAATATTATTTTTTATTAAAATGTGTTAAACATACAAAGATATGAAGCTTGAAGATTTTGATGACGATTCAAGAACAAAGGACTTAAAGACTTGAAAACTTAGAATTATGTGTATTTACTTGTAATAATTCTATTTTATGTTTTTGAGTCTATATAATTAGAGTACAAGATAACCAGCACATAGTCCATCATCTGAAAACTTATTTTTATCAAATCCACTCTGTGATAATCGATTATCACTTAGAATAATTGATTATCTTGCATTGAAAAATTATTTTTATGAAAACCTTGTTGTGATAATCGATTATCACTCAGGATAATCGATTATCCCAGCTAGATAATCGATTATCCTAGTCATGTTTTACTCCTCTGTAAAAATGACTCTATAATAATCGATTATATACGTTTGTTATGAGTTTTGAAATTTAAATCTGAACCAATTTACGAAAATCTTATTCTCAATTCTTATATTTTCAAAAATCATCATTTCTCAGTCCCTATTCTTTTTACTTAAGGTTCTCTAATAGAGAGAATAGGATCTTCCTGTGACAATAGGCCTCGAATGATTATAAAATCATTGAAAAATGGACAAAAGTTGTTCATAAAATTATTACTGTATTTTGTAAAAGATCACTGCAAGTGTTAAGGGTTGTAGGAAAAAAAAAAAAAGTTAAGCTTCAACTTAACCTAGTATTAGTAGTAAGTTTATAACTAATGAACAAGGGATGATAAACATTGAAAATACTCTATATTTCTGATTCTCGTTCTTCATATCACATCGCAATAGTACATACTACATTATGATTACGCATGATGTATCCACTATTCAAAATCCAGGCTGGAAATTTGTCTTCGTAAGACTTTGTGTCTAGAAACATTTAATTGAAGACTTACGAATTCGAAAAACGAAAAGACAGATTCTCAAACGTGAAACGCAAAGATAAGCAAATGAGTGGGGGGTAAGAGTCTTGATTTTCAAGTGATATTTTAAGAAAAACATTTTTTTTTCACATAGATATTTAGAAGGAAATGAAAATAGAAAAAGATATAAGACATGCAAAATATATATGATATTTTTTTAACCTAATGGTGCTATTTGAAATGTAATTTTAACATTTTTTATGCGTATTATCATTTCCTTGATGCACTTCTTTCTCCATTAATCACGACAGACATCATAGACATATTTGTTTCATTTATTTTCTCGAGATTGTGACAATTGACAACATTATCATACTGTCACGGACCGCAAGATATTGCTTGCCGGAACTCACCCACAAAGAGGTGCTAGGACCGAGTATATGTACGTGTAATCAATCACGTCACAATTATTCACCAACCTAACTGGGTGTTGTGCTTTTTGTTTTCTACTTTTTTTTTCTTATATATCTATCTGACATTAAAAAAAAAAAAACAATTAGTTGTATTATTTATGAATTAAAAATTTACACATACACAATGGAGAGAGAAGAAAATAAGAATGCTTGATTTTGGGTCACTATTACTTGGACCACCACATAAAAAAAATGTGGTTATATACTTGTATGAAATAATGTTAAATTTGATTCATTTTCTCTCTTTTTTTTAATACAAATTTTAAGTCTATTTTTTAAATATTCTTATATTAAAGATAAGAATATTTGTAACATATTTTTTGAGTATGTTTAATATATATTAGATTTTATTATTACTAATTTATTAATTAAATTTATTTACTAGTCTTTTACCAATGGAGCAGGCGTACAAAAACTACCCATCGCAATTGAAGTGCAGTGGAAAAATCTGTCTAATATGGTTTTAAGACAGTAATTACAATGACCACGTTTCCTTTCTCTTACTTTTCCACATCTTGTCCCTTCCAAAATGTTGGACTCAACCGCAATGGACGGTGGTTGCATTGGAGGGTGAATCCAGAAACCATCCACAAAGGTTATTGGCAAGTAAAATACGATTATATCTACAACAGTTGACAAATGCATCAATGGCCGCGTAGAAGAATAGTCAATCCAATATAATCAAGTAACGTATTTAAACTGGATTTATAGACTTGATATCGTAGTCAACCATGATCTTTAAGCTTCATCAATTGCTTTGGCTTTGCACATATGTCTTGTCACGTCCAAATGTTCTAGCATTTGGCGACAGGAAGTTTTCCTCGTGGAAACTTGGTGGCTTGATGGATTAATTACTCTTTTAATTTATGTTTATTGTCGATCAAAGACTTTCCAGTGAAACAAATGTTATCTATTATTCCTTGCTCTCTCATCTCCTCCATTCGTTGAAAATATATGCGGGGAAAATAAATTGAACATGTCAAAGCTATTCTGTGAAGCTTTTAGAGTGAAGCTTTTAGAGTTCATGTCCGTGTAAATATATGATAATAATTGGTAACGGATTATGTCGGTCATCATCGTTTGCTAAATCTTTGAACTGCGAAGCATTCTGTTGTCAATGTGAAATAGTTTTTCTTTCCACTTATACCTAATCGTTATGTCACGTAGCGCGAGATTTCTTTGGTCCAAAAATGAATGCCACTGTTCTAATTCAATTTCACTTTTGCATGCATATCGTTGCCCTTTAATCTGATCTTAACACTCCACTGCCTTGGCTTAACAAAGCATATTGGGATAAAAGGATAAATATTGCTAAAAGAACTCAAGCATGCTATAGTTTGAAAAGGTCCTTGATCTTAGCCAAAGTGGCCAAGGGATGGTAAAATATGATTGAATCTAGTACCAAGAAATTCTATATATATAGGAGTTAATTTTAGAAAAGTTTCATGTCACTTTCGAAATTTTTTCGACAAATATTAATTCATCTTCTTTTTTATATTTTTTAACATTGATTTCTACATCAGTAACACCGTTTTGCTATGCCTGGAAGCAACAGGATACATATATGGAACTAACAGCGTCAAAGCCAAAATCGTCTGTTCTAGTTGCTCCTACTGACTTTGGCAATGGAGAGATAATTGGACCAAAGCACTGTCATTTACACCTCTATTCAATGAACGTGCTTTTTATCAACTTTGTGACCCTCAATTCAATGTTTTCTATCATGATTGCAACTGTGAAAACGATAGCATTTCCCTTTTTCTACGATGCACGCACGCTCTACAGTACCGTCATGCTTTGGGTCAGTTTAGAAGTGTACGATTTCGGTTTAGATAAAGGAGAAAAGAATAATTAAAATTTCGATGCCACCTTCATCTTGAAGTTTTCATCTCCAATCAGAAGACAAATAAAAAGAAAAGACAGCATATATCATATGATTCACATTCACGATACAACAATGGAACTGGGTTCTGTTAATTACCAGCATGTGTATAATATAAAGGAAAAAAACACTTTGTTAACATAACTTCGATAGGGTTGGAAAAATTGAAGTTGAATTTATAAAAAGAATAAAAGCTAACTTTAGCCAAAATAAATTAGTAGCAAGGTAATAGACAAGGATAATTATTTTATTAGAATTAAAAGTATAAGACGCTGAAAACAATGCATTCCAATGTAACTGTCACAATGGAAAAACGAAAAAATTAAGTCAACATTTAACCGACCCTTTGAATATAGAATTATTCCCATTCACCTAGACACGAAGAATCAAACAAAAACCTAAAATCCAAACCTAATCAATTAAAAAAGTTGCATCAACAATTCATATATCTTATCTTCCCATGTGATGACTGTAACACGCATCTTTCTACCGTGATTATGACCTAAATTATTAACAAATCTCCGGAATCACCATTCATGTATAAATTATTATCACATAATAACGTGTAATGAAAAATCCTAAAATAAAATAAAATCGATAAAAAAGGAAAAGGTCTAAAAAACTTTCGCCCTACTCATTTTCTTCCTCTCTCCCATTCTGCCATTTGATTTCTTACTGTTAGCACAAATGCATTAATTGGACTTACTTAATATTTTAGTAAACGTCTATAATTTTAACCCCTCAGATTTAAAAATATATAGCTTTAGTAATATTCTTTTATTATTCGGACACGGTATTTATAACGTGGTAATTACCTTTTGTTTATTCTTTTATTTTTAAAACATTCTTAGATTTGAAGGATTGTCAAGTTGAAACTTAATAGAAACTATTAGGATTTACAACTTAATTTAAACATAAATATAAAATTATTTTAATTGAACATGTTGAATTTATTGTGTTTTAGATTAGTTATTAAAAAATAAGTTATATGAATTTTAAATTTACTGGTCAAAATTAACTTTATATTTAGGTATGCTAACTGATTTATAATATAATATTTTTTATTTAAATAAAAAAAGTCTTTGTGTAACATACTGATTGATGAAAAGCTTATATATTGATCATTACTCCACAAAAGCTATAACTGAAGGTACTAAAGCACTGGTGAAAAATATTAGAGCCAAGTATTATTTAAAAGGGTTTGACCAGAAAGTTATGTAATATTCTTAAATTTAGGTAAATAAAATTTAATTCTATGCAATAAAAATAATTATGAAAAAAATCAAGTTTGAATAGAATGGTCAACTTTTCAGTTCTAACTTCTAAGTAACACCTTTCAACTCATTTAATACTCAACAACGATAATATTATTTTTACATAATTTCTTATAACACTTTACAACTCATCATTTTCGTCGTCTCTTTCATTCGTACCGTATTATTTACTTTATCTCAACCCTAATTTTTTTTTCTTTTCTTATCTATTTTAAATTCATTATAAAATATAGTATACAAAAAAGAAATATCTCTAATCATAATCAGAAACAAACGTTGACCAAGTTTATCTTTTTCCAGTATATGATGATATATTTATTTCATATTAAACTAATTAACATAAAGCATGAATTTATGTTATTTTTATCAATAGAAAAAAGTGACGACGGTATCGCCATTTTTTCATTTAAGAATCGGGGCTTCCAAATTCATACAAAGTGTTCCCAAAGCATATGTTTTAAAATTAAACCAAAAAAGAAGAAGCAACTGATGAACATTTTTTCATTTTTTTTTTCATTGTGTGCTCTAATTTAAGCGAGTGAATTATGTGAGTGGTGGTGCTACATAGGGAAAGACATGAGTTTAGTATCTAGTTTTATTCTTTTGCTTATTTTTGAAAATCAAAATAACTTTTAAAAAAGATGGTTTGAAAATAGAAATGAACACAACCTTGATCTCTAAGTTGTGATAAGAATTGAGATTAAGAGAAATAAGAGTTTGAACAAATATAGTTAGGGCAAAAATAGGGTGTAATGAGTTGCAAAGTGGTGGAGTGAAGTTTTTTCTCCCTGGCGCAGCCGGCAGCCATCACTTTCTGAAACCAACATACTCTACACGCCTATGGCCGCCTTGGTTCGCTCCTGAGGACTACGCTGGGGGAACTTTTGCTGACGTGGCGACATATGTGGGCGCACATGTCGGCCACGGTGCTCCACCTCTGGCCCATGTGTCTCCCCAAAAAGCTACAGTCTTTGAGACACACACAATCTTTTGTCGACGGATCCCCATTAAATCCAACAACGTCATTCCATTGTCAACCATGACGTTCACTGTGTCACATGCTTCATACGCCTGATTCTTTTTTCCCTCTATAAATACCTACCAAATTTCTCTACTTTTCTCCATCCATACTCATCACTTCTTCCACTGTCTGTGTCTTCTCTTAACTTCTCGGCTCACAACCTTACCCTCTGCCCATTTACCTTTCTTTGTGTTTGTGTTGTGATAACCCATCATGGCCATTGCTACTGACTTATCACCATCCCCCCCTCTTGCACTTCCTCCTACTTGTGATGACAAGAACGCAAAGGCTTTGCGTTTAATTGAGGAAATGACCCAAAACACCGACAGCGTCCAAGAGAGAGTCCTTGCTGAGATTCTCAGCCAAAACGCTCAGACCGAGTACCTCAAAAGGTTTCAGCTCAATGAACCCATGGACCGTCACACTTTCAAGTCTAAGGTTCCTGTCGTTTCTTACGAGGATTTGAAGCATGATATCCAACGCATTGCTAACGGTGATCGCTCCCCTATCCTCTGCGCTCACCCAATCTCTGAGTTTCTAACTAGGTACGTACATATACGTACCCATACATGTATGAGTACCTCTTTGCATTAAACAGTCGTAAAATGTATTAATTAATGGTCAAACTTTGATTCGAGTAAGATATTTATATTCAAAATATTTCCTTATGAATCTGCATTATCCTTTAACACCTTATACAAGTTCCTAAGGTGATATTTTGATATTACTCACGAATATTTTGATATGAGTTAACTAACCTACCGTGAAACTGCAGTTCTGGAACGTCTGCTGGGGAGAGAAAACTGATGCCGACGATTCGTGAAGAGATGAACCGTCGTCAGTTACTTTACAGCCTTCTCATGCCAGTGATGAACAAGTATATTTCCGTTCCTTCCACATGTAATCATATTTTGTGTTTATGTTCATGAACTAATATGTTGTTACATTGCACAGATACGTACCTGGATTGGACACGGGTAAGGCTCTTCTGTTTCTGTTCATCAAGGCGGAGACGAAGACTCCGAGTGGATTAGTGGCACGTCCAGTGCTGACTAGCTACTACAAAAGCGACCAATTCAAAAACAGACCCCACGACCCATACAACGTCTACACAAGCCCTGATGAAGCAATCCTCTGCCCCGATTCCTTCCAGAGCATGTACACTCAAATGCTATGCGGTCTCATCATGCGCCATGAGGTTCTCAGAGTCGGTGCTGTTTTTGCCTCGGGCCTTCTTCGCGCCATCCGCTTCCTCCAGCTCAATTGGGCCCAATTAGCCCACGACATCGCCACTGGAACCCTAAACCCCAAAATCACCGATCCTGCCATCACGGAACACATGGCTCAAACCCTGAAGCCCGACCCGGAGCTTGCCAATTTCATTACCAAAGAATGTTCGGAAGAAAACTGGGAACGCATAATCACCAGAATCTGGCCAAACACCAAGTATCTAGACGTGATTGTGACAGGTGCCATGGCGCAGTATATTCCAACTCTAGATTATTACAGCGGAGGCCTACCTCTCGCTTGCACCATGTACGCCTCCTCCGAGTGCTACTTTGGGCTTAACCTTAACCCAATTTGCAGCCCCTCTGACGTATCATACACCATCATGCCAAACATGGGTTACTTCGAGTTCTTGCCTCATGAGGATGCTGCTTCATCTTCCGCCTTGTCACGTGACTCGCCACCGCGTTTAGTCGACCTTGCTGACGTTGAACTCGGTAAATCCTACGAACTCGTTCTCACCTCATACTCAGGTCTATGTCGTTACCGTGTGGGCGATGTCCTCCAAGTGACGGGGTTCTACAACACCGCCCCGCAGTTTCATTTTGTGAGGAGAAAGAACGTGCTTCTGAGCATTGACTCAGACAAAACGGACGAGGCGGAGCTGCAGAACGCCGTGGAGAACGCCTCCGCGCTGTTGAAGGAGTTCAACACGAGCGTGGTGGAGTACACAAACTTCGCGGACACGAAGTCGATCCCGGGGCACTACGTGATTTACTGGGAGCTGTTGATGAAGGAGTCGCGTCACGCTCCGACGCGCGAAGTGCTGGAGCAGTGTTGCTTGACCATGGAGGAGTCGCTGAACGCGGTGTATCGGCAAGGAAGGGTTGCGGACCATTCTATTGGGCCGTTGGAGATTCGTGTGGTAAAGAACGGAACCTTCGAAGAGCTAATGGACTACGCCATCTCGCGAGGCGCGTCGATTAACCAGTACAAGGTGCCACGCTGCGTCACCTTCTCGCCCATAACGGAGTTGCTTGACTCGAGGGTGGAGTCCGTTCACTTTAGCCTCGCAGAACCTCACTGGACCCCGGAACGTCGTCGTTGAAGGGTGGGCACGTACGTGCAACAACAGCAACAACAATAATAATAATAAAAATAATAATAATATGAACAATAATAATTACAATTAAATAAAAAGTAAGGGGAAAAGAGATTGAAAGCAATGGGTGGTGGGTGATCGGTGAAAACCCTGAGAGTGTGTGAATCTGTTGATTGGATGTATGTGCTTTGAAAAGTGTTCTCTTTTGGGTTTCGCCGTACCTTTTTAAGTTTATGTTGTTTTGCTTTAGATTTCTGTCTATCACAATAAGCTTATGTGGTTACCTTGATGGATCCTAGACATTTTTGTCTTCCCCGTGTAGGGAAACCATCTTGTCCATATATTATTCAATAAAATTAATCTTATTCATATATTTTAATATCCCTTTTTTATTCCTTCACGTGCATGTAATGTAACTTTCATGGGCTAAAATGTCAGATACGCGTTTTTCTTTTGTCTCTTCTTTTGCATGTAGGAATTTTAATTTAATTAAAAAAATAATTATATTTACAATATATTTTTTAATCATATACAATACAAATTTTACACTAATTAATCTTGCATAATTAATAAAATAAAACATCTTTACAGTATATTTTTATTTTATTTTCCCTTTTTATGTATTTTTTTATCATTATATATTGTTCTCTCTCCTTCTTCTAGCTCATCTCTAATTTGTAAAAATATTAGAGTTATGATCTCTCTTCTGGTTTGTGCACGATCATCTCCAAAAAAAGAGACCAGGCCATGTCAGCTTTTCTTGGTTCTTTATGTCTCCTTTTTTTTGTTTTCTTAAAGGGAAAAAGATGCAAAAGGGGAATTTATAATGTGTATACATTTTCAAGTAAGAAATGACATTGATAGATCATAAGATGGAATCGGTCATGTTTTGTGTCTCTGGATTCGGAAGGACTCAACTTTTTGTCGCGTTATCAAATAAACAATGGAAATTATTATGCTCATGCTGCTACTCATGTTTAAGTATTTATGGTTTTGCTCAATTCTTTACTATTATTTACCTTATAACATTTTTTTTATCTCTCCTTTATAGTAATGTTTTTTTGTGAATGAATTATAATTATTTTTATGAAACGATCAATAAATAGTTAAGCATAATTTTTATAATAAAATTATTGGGGCCCTTACATTTTTGAAGCACGATCAAAGACAAGTTTGACCGCATAAGAAGATTAGTTATTTTAACATTTGACTTTGACCAATAACAAGTATTTTATTTTAGATTCAGCTGAAAGAGAAGTGTGCTTTAAGAAACTATTTTTATGTTAATATATATTTTATTTTTAATTATAAAAGATACATATTCTTTTTTATTTTTCTAAATCGTATCCAAAAAAAATAAACAAAGTAATATTTTTACAATTAAAAACGAAAGATATAGTTGATTTCTTAACCCCATTCCTCCAAATTCTAAATAAATAATAAAACTCTACATATAACTGATTTGTGGAAAAAATAGATAAAAAAAGTAAAATAAAATGTATAAATATTGACATGTTTTTATCTTTATTTCCAGTTTTTCGTACTTATATTAATATATATACATCGAATACATTTCTAGTAATTATTGGGGGGTATAATAGGATTATAAATTTAATATGAAGAATTAAGAAACTATGAAATCAAGATGTGAGTAACTAACTTATCAGACTAAAATTTGACATGAGTTACAGTGAGAAGTAAAAGTGTAATTAGGTTCCAATGAAAAATAAAATAAAACGTAAGTCCTTAAGTAAAAGTCTTTTGCTGTGATCTTTATAGTTGACACTCTTTCATCTATTCTTGTAATTAAGAGCAATAGAAAAAATACAGTTTTGATTTGACTATGACATGAACAAATAATTGAAAAAAATATCAGAATGCGATGAGACACAGAGCTAGAACATCATTTAGCTAGCTAGGGCCACGATAAAACTATTCAACGATTATATCTATAATTAACAAAAAAAAATAATAAAAATTTATATGTATATAATTACCAAAAAATAAATTAAACATTTTAATGTCTATAATTAAAATAAATAATTAAGGACAACCGAGATTAAATACACCTGCATAAATATAAATAAACACAAATTCTTTTAATGTCTTATCTTATTCATACATAAAAATATAATCTTTCATCAGTTTTTTTTTATTTTAAATAACATACAAAAATTTCATTCTGTGGAATATATTTAATTGTTTAAAACAATAAAGATGATGGAAACATTGCATACAAGTGAAAATTAAGGGGAAATTATACCTTTCATCATGGAAATAATATTAAAAATTATAGTTAATTACCTCCTAATAAATTATCTTCTAATTTAGTTATAGATTAATTTCGACATATTTGCTTGATAATAATGATATAGGTAATAAAACATATTTGTGTTTATATGAAGAAGAATAGCGTTCTTGACACGGCCAGTTTGATTTTTCTTTATAGGCACGAATTTACGTTATTATTATTTAATCTTAAAATGATAGTTACAAATTTACGTTATTATTATTTATTTATAAATAATTTATTAATTAAAAATAGTAATTAATATTAATTATTAGATTTATTAAAAATTTATTTTGATATTTATTCTTAAAATAAATAAATTTATTATTAAATTAATTTATAATATATTTATTATTTTTTTAATAAAAAAATATTTTTTATATTTAAAAATTATTTATTATTCTAATAAATAGATACATATTAACATGATCTAAAACCATGACCTAAACAGATCATAACCTGCATTTACAAATTTTTAAACCTAATTTAATCAATTTCTTACCCTTTTTTATCTGCTATCGAATTAAACTTATTTGAAATCCTAACAAAGAGTTAAAACCGTCCAAATCTAAACCATTGATGTTATTGATATAAATAATCAGAAATAATTTACCTAGTTATTATAATAAAGTATTTCATTTATTAGACATACATATTTTTCTATTCTATCATGTCACCTTAAGATTTTAAATATTAAGGTTTAAAATATTGATTTCGACTCAAATCAAAATAAACACGAATTTATCATTCATATCTAAAATTTTTATTTTTATTTTAAATATATATATATATATATATATATATATATATATATATATATATATATAATGTTTAGTACATAGATAAAAGACTTTAAAGATTAAACTAAACATACTGTAATTTATCCACTATACAAGCAAATCGTTGTATTATAAATGTTTTAAGGTATGACTTGAGAAATTTGGTCATACGTATTATTTAGAAAAAGAGAAGAAAAATCAATTTATCTATAAATTAAAATTAACTTATATATAAACTAATTTGTATATGTTATTTATTTTAATTTCTGTAAATAAATCTGGACTAAATACATGTCGAATATAAATAAGTAGGGACTTGTTTGATTATTCTTTAATTAATCTTTTATTATACATTATATGATAAGGTTCCAATATAAAATCAATTGACAATATGTGGAGTACCTCAACGTATTTAAACATGTCCCCAACGAGTCTGACGAGGCAAAGGTACTTTTGACCCATGATAATAACTCGAAAATATGTTAGGTTTTGACTCGATACTCATGTTAAGGTTTCAACATAAAACCAATTGACAATATGTGGAGTAGCTTAACATGTATTTAAACAATACCAAATAACATGAGGTAGGCGATGTGAGACTTTAAACATTATGACGATCAAAATTGACATGCTTTATTCACTTATGATAAGTCAAAATAGATTGGAAATCCAACGAAAATAATATAAAAAAAGTAACCTTATGTTTTATTATTAAAATAAAATACTTGTTAATAAATAATATAATAAAAAAACTAATTTGAAGTTATTTCCTTTGAGAAGGTGTGATGATAATCTTTTCTTGATGTAAGGAAATATAATGAAAAATTTACTTAAAAATAAGAGGGTACAATAAAATGTCGCATCACTAATTAAATTTTATAAGGTGTCTTCTCAATTATTTAGTCTTGGCTACGAAGTAAACTAAGAAAGAAGTTGTAAGCAGAGTCTTGGTCTTGTAAAGCAAATATAGATAAGATGACTCAGCAAACATCTGCATTGTTCAAAAGTTTATCATGAATGCCAAATTACCAATAACTTGGCACTCAATTATTTTTTTTTTTTTTGACAAAATAAACTCAATTTAATCCTTAACATTTTAGTTACAATTGATAAGTTTGATCAATTTACAAGGTGATTCTTCCATACTTACATTCTTAATAAAGAGGATATCCTTTATAATTTGTAATCTTGCAAACTACAACTGATTTTAAGAAGCAAATTATATATACTTATTGATTAGATTTTTTTTAAATATTTGAAAAATATTTATTTTATGATCAACCAAACTGGGCTTATATTTTCAATCTTTTCATATTTGTGTTCACCCAGGGAATCTGCAGAATTCGGACTAAAGTTGATGGTAGGAAATAAAATAAAGCAAAAGGACATACAACACATTTTGAATTAAAAAATAAGGTCCTAGTCCAAGTTAAATTTTAGGTTTGCAGGTCCTATACGAAACTCAATCCAGTAGCAACTATGTATCCAATGAACAGGCCCAAAATATGTGCTTCAATCTTCATAAATGGGCTCCGTCCCCCAGAAAAAGGAACGTGATAAATTTTTATTTTTCTTCTTTGAAGCCCGGTAGAAAATGTGAATAAATATACATGCATTTTAAGGAAAAAAATGATTGAAAAGAGAATCCTTAATAGAATTAGATACCAAGAAAGTCAATAAATAATATTACCAATAATATAGTTTAAAAAATCATTAAAACTTAAAAATAATAATAATAATTCCTTCATAACATGCACATATATTCTTACTTATAGATAAATATTCATTTTTCTTGCATTCACATCCTTTGTGTTTATTTAATAACTATTATGTAAAAAAAAATTAAATTTTTTTAGATATTTTAGCTATTATATATTTACAATGTAACAAAATCAATTATCATCCAACTATATAATCGTTTAATTAAATATTATAATGGTTATATTTCATGTAATGATTACAAATGACTTAAAATATATTTTTCACTACTAATATGTTGAATTTAAAATCAAGATAAATAAGTTACTATAATTAATAGTATTTTTCGTATATTTTAATGTCAAAATAACTAAAACAATACAACATATATGAGTCAATGTATTGTTTATATATATTTATATATATATATATATATATATATATATATATATATATATATTTATATGGGATTTTAAGATTCTTATTTGTATAAAATTTTGTTCTTATTTTTCCTTCCTTAATAGTCTATTATTCAATAAGCATTCAACAAAATATTATTGTGCTCAATGGATCATTTTCTAACAGAATATTGATAGGAGAGTATGAGAGTATAACAACAAAACTTCATTTTCTTACAAAAAAAATAAATTACTTTCATTTCAAGAATATAAACTTTAGGAAATTTATAAAATTGTATCCTTAATATTTTTATGTGGATTGTTCAAAGTGTAATTCAAATGTTTGATTATTGAACAAATATTGGATGAGTATTGCACATGATTATTATCATCACATGTATATTAACTAAGGTGTTACACCTCCAAAAAATAAATGTTTTAATTATAGTGGATATAGATAACGAAATATTTTTTATAGGATAATGTTTATTTTGTTGTTTATATGTGTAAAAAGTGTAAATGAGTTTTTTAGTTTTTGTTTTTTTTTTTAATGGACTCAATAACCATACAATTATAGACTAATCCTTTCTCATGTTCAATAGATTGAATTTTATTTACTTGAATTATGATTCAATTTATTAACCAGTAACTTGTTAATGTTGTAATATATATATATATATATATATATATATATATATATATATATATATATTATACTTAAATCAAATCAATCACTAGTTTAGAATCTAGTTTATTTAAGTTTGATTAGATTTAATAAAATAATACTTTTTATATGATAAATATTTAATCAATTAATTAATAATATATTTTTTAAATACAAAGTAATAAAAAATATTATTATAATTATAAATTATAATAAATAATATAAATATAAAATATATTAGAAAATATAAGATAGATAATAGTTAAATAAAATAATTATTATTTTAAAAATATAATTAATATAAAATAAAAAATTAAAATATGTTATATTTTTTTGTATTTTTTTAACTGAAATCAATTTGATTAAAAATATTTTTTTAAAAATTTATATTTATTTAATTAAATTCTAATTATTTAAAAATAATAAACTAACTCATTCTATTTAATATATATATATATATATATATATATATATATATAAACCAATGAATATTATGATATAATTATTTTGATTTAAAAATATAAAAAATTATATGATAATGGGTGTGAGTTCAATCCATTCAATTATTGCCCCATGCGGATTATGAATTATGCTAGACAAGACATGTTGTGTTTTTCTAGATAGGTTACTGAGTCAAACCACATGATTCATTTCACATTGGTGTATATAATTTTATAAATATTGTTTTAATATATATGATACAATGAAACTTGTAATTTTTGTTGCTTGTATATCGAAGATGAATCCACAACCTTAACCTCAATTATTTGCTTGTAATTTATAACTATTTTGCTTAATTTTAACTTTTTATTTATTATTAGTTAGTAAAATAAAAATAACTATTATTAATTTTAAAATATTAACATTTATTTCTTTTCTCTATTATTTTTCATTATTGTTTCCATAAAATATTTAAATTCACAGAAAAAATAAATAGAAAAAAATATTTTGAACTTTCACTTAAAAAAACTACCGACTAACCTTATTTTTGTTCACTTTTACTCCCCAACTTTCATGGATGAGAGTTAAACAAAATCTATTATCCATTTTAGAAAATAGAAAATATTTCAAATATAGTTTTAAACACTCATCGAGTATCGTGGTCATCAAATAACAGTGCTAATAATAGTGTAATCAAATACTTAAATATAATTTTCATTTGGTATCACCCACCCAGATGAGATGATAATGATACCACAAAACAGATAGTTATGGAAAGCTGACATGTCGTCAAGAGTGGTGGTCCGCGCGCATATATTCCATGACAAGTGCGTGGTGCACACACGCCAACCATGGACCAACATCACAAACTCCACACCTCAAACCATCTCCACCTCATGAAAACACGAAATATGAATAAGACAGCACGTGAAATGGTGACACTCACACGATCCTTCATCTCTTAATACTTTAGTGCCATTCACCATTAAAAATATCACAAAAGGGTGTAACTTTTATTTGTCAAACTCTCTTCTTACTCACTGGTCTAATCAGATTCCAACGCCATGTCTAAGAACCCGCAAGAGCAGCCACTGTTGGCAGACTCCTTTCAGGAAGAAGAGGAGCCGCAAGAAACTGCCTACGAATCCTCCGAGAAGATCGTCGTGGTGGGAGTCGACGAGTCCGATAGCGAGGAGAATTGGGGGAGAGTGCCTCCGTTCTCGTGGAAGAAGCTATGGCTCTTTACTGGGCCGGGCTTTCTCATGAGCATAGCGTTTCTGGACCCGGGAAACCTCGAGGGGGACCTTCAGGCCGGGGCTATTGCTGGCTACTCCCTGCTGTGGCTTTTGATGTGGGCAACGGCCATGGGCCTCTTGATTCAGCTCCTCTCGGCCCGCCTCGGCGTCGCCACCGGGAAGCACCTTGCTGAGCTCTGCAGGGAGGAGTACCCTGCGTGGGCTCGGATGGTGCTTTGGGTCATGGCTGAACTTGCTCTCATTGGCTCCGATATTCAGGAGGTTATTGGAAGCGCTATTGCTATCAGAATTCTCAGTCGTGGGGTTGTGCCCCTTTGGGCTGGGGTCGTCATCACTGCTCTTGATTGGTAATTCAACTAACCAACCGTCCTCTAATACTGTTTTTTTTTTTTTTTTTTCATTGTCAGATGTTCGAGTTGTTTATGTTGAGCGTTTTACTGTAATTTTCTAATAGCGTTAAGGGTAAAGATTTTTTTTTACTACTATTTATATTTAGGTATACGCCATTTTTTATGGCGACATTTGTCTAAATTCCTTCCTTGATTAAGCTGTACTTTGATAGTTCTGGACTCAGGTCCGAGCCATAATAAATTATGGGTCGTCCTGTCGCTGGAGAGGAATTATGAATGTCTGATATTTAAGTTGAAAAGGCAAATCGTTGTTGACTCATCATTGCATTTTTTTTTTTTTTTGTTAAGGAGAGATTTTGTATAGTATCTTAGGAAATATAGGGTTTTTGCCTTTATCATTGATAGATTTTCTCTCGCTGGGTATGTCTATTTCCCAAAAAATAACTATACCAAAATACTTAGACTTCTCTGGCACCCATAACAATTTTATTTTGATGTTTTTCTAAGTCTGCCTCTCTGGTAATCCAAAATAAAACATTATATATTTTGTTACCTTGTTGCAGTTTTATTTTTCTCTTTCTAGAGAACTATGGTGTGAGGACATTGGAAGCCTTTTTTGCTGTTCTCATTGGTGTGATGGCAATCTCGTTTGCGTGGATGTTTGGTGAAACAAAGCCCAGTGGCAAGGAATTGCTTCTTGGTAAGGAATGTTAACACATTAGCCAGTATAAACACAAATTGTCATTTCTCTTTTGTTTTGAATCTGAAGCATGGTTTGCTTTGTATCTGCAGGCGTTTTGATTCCAAAACTCAGCTCCAGAACCATTCAACAGGCTGTTGGAGTTGTGGGGTGCCTTATTATGCCTCACAATGTGTTCTTGCACTCTGCTCTTGTTCAGTCAAGGCAGGTTGACCGCAGCAAGAAAGGCCGGGTTCAAGAAGCTCTTAATTATTTCTCTATAGAGTCCACTCTTGCCCTCGTAGTCTCCTTTATCATAAATATATTTGTCACAACAGTGTTTGCTAAGGGGTTTTATGGTACTGAATTTGCAAACAGCATTGGTCTTGTAAATGCAGGACAGTATCTTGAGGAGACATACGGGGGTGGACTGTTTCCTATTTTGTATATTTGGGGCATTGGGTTATTAGCAGCAGGTCAAAGTAGCACTATTACTGGTACTTATGCTGGACAATTCATCATGGGAGGTTTCCTAAATTTAAGATTAAAGAAGTGGATAAGGGCGTTGATTACCCGAAGTTGTGCAATTATCCCAACCATGATAGTTGCTCTTTTATTTGACACCTCAGAGGAATCGTTAGATGTTCTGAATGAGTGGCTTAATGTTCTACAGTCAGTTCAAATCCCCTTTGCACTTATTCCCTTGCTTTATCTGGTGTCAAAGGAGCAGATAATGGGCACTTTCAGAATTGGCACTGTTCTCAAGGTACAACATACTTTGTCATTCAATCTGCATTTTGATCTCGCTGGTCACTTATCTGATGCTGTTATTAGTATATGTATGTGATAAACGATTTTGTGGTGCTAATAATTTTGTATGAGGTTGCTGTCTGTATATGACTATATTGTTTAATTAGGAACGATATAATTCAGAAACCCGATTAATAGACCTTTTCTTCTTGCCCTTGGAGACAATTAAGAACTTAATGTACTCCTTATCTCTTTTGCAATCTAGAGTTTGATTCTGAAGAGACAAAGTAGTAGGTTTGATTATACTACCCTGCCTTGAGAATTGAAAAGTGAGCGTTAGACTATTTACGTCTCATCTTTTTTCTTTATGTTCCTAAGTATTAGGGGCTGTTTTATCTTGCAGATAACTATCCCCAAGTCATTATAACATAAGTACATGATACGAAATTTTTTGTTATTGATCATTTTGATCATGAAGTGTTCAATATGAATATGTTATGCTGCACAATGCATGTTCCTGCGGCTGGAAACGGCACATGATGTGTCAGCATTGATATCACTTTGTTGTTAAAAAATATGCAGGATGCATTGGTCCTGCCTCTTATCTTGAGAGGGCGTTGTTCTACTTTTGTCCTCATTTATTTCAAGTTGTCATTAATTGACTTAATACATCATTAGTATATTTACACCTGAATATATCATCGCATGTAGGGTTTGCTTTATGCGCACATGCAGGCATAATTATTGTTGATTTAGAATTTGATTGTGTTAGAAAAATAGGGAATAGTGTCACTTTTCCTTTCCTTCATTCTGCTTGGTCTGTAACTGTGTTGTTATTTTGGATATTCTTAAAAACCGAACTCTAACATGTAATATTTCACGATTATCTAAGAAAGAGACCCACTTGAATTCTTTGTCTGTAGCAATTTGGAGAAACAGATGCATAATAATTTGAACGGACTTCTATTTATTGATGTAAGAAGTGTTATATATTGAACTTTCGCAGAGTGTTTTGACTTTTGGAGGGTTTACTCCACAACTTTTGTGGATCTTGGATGCATTTGGTTTCTGTACTAACCCTTCTCAAATTATGCTCGTATTCTGTTTTGATGAAGTACTGAATTGGCTTCTGATGTGGATGCAGATTACATCATGGCTTGTGGCTGCTCTGGTGATAGTGATCAATGGGTATCTTTTGACGGAATTCTTTTCCTCCGAAGTGAAGGGTCCCATGTTTGGCGCTGTAGTGGGTGCAATAACTGCTGCATATGTTGCATTTATAGTATACCTTATTTGGCGGGCCATAACCTTTGTACCTTGGCAAAGCTTAACACGACCAAAGACAATTGTTCTTTCAGAGAGTTAAGTAATCAATCTTTAAATTTGCGGAATAGGAAGGGCCATCCATTTTCTCATGCTTGTTATTGATGCATGGGGCGGTGGTACCTTGTTCGTGTGACTAGTTGATGCATTGTTTGCCTGTAGCTATAAACTATGGTAGAGTAAATTTTAGCGATATGTTATTGTCAATTTGTTGTCAAAATGCCTTGAAAAAAACACTAATTAGTTGAGGCACATTCGAAGTTTAGTTTTGATTTTGAAGCAATCAACGTAGTTTTTTGTTATGTTCTCTCGATCTTGTTCATATTCTATTGGGCAGGAGCTGTGTACACCGAATAATTCAAGCTAATTGCAGTCCCTTTTGATAATAATCTTTTAAGGTTGAAACTTGAAATAAACTTGATAATTCATTACACTTCTTAGAAAAGTAAGGGAAAGGAAAAGTAAAGAATGAGAAAATGTTTTTAGTTGTTTGATAGGATAGACTAAATAATACAACAGCAACAGCATTATTTTATGATGTAAGTTTCTACGTTTTCAATCAATTAAAAAGGTAAGAAAATTCAGAAAAAGAGAGAGTATTATTTAGTCTATCCCAGGTACCCACTGTCACACATACAAAACAAGGTGCAGTATAATAAGATGGACAATTTCATCTTTCTCTCACCTTTAGTTCAATATTCTCCAATCCTTTGTTCCAGGATGTAGTTGATGAATAATGATAGAAAACAATAGAGTTAAAAGAATGAAATAAAAGACAGATCTTTATTCATTTCTATTCTAGCTGTATAGGGTACGTCCTTAAATAACTTACAATTGTCAAATGGGCAACTGCAATAATCTTTCTAGTCCTTAACACAATCATTACTCGGTTGGGCCTCGTTCTGGATTGGGCTGATGGCTCAGCATATTGTTTATTGTCATCTCAATTTTTTATTTTTATGCAAGACAAAAAACCATTCTGCAAGTACTTTTTATTGGTCAATGTTACTGAAACCACATTTTTTTATGTTCGATAAAGAGGAATACATACCATATCATCATTGATAAAGAATGAAATAGAGAGAGAAAGGGGAAGTGACTGAAAAATAATCAAAATTAAAATATATAGAAATACAAAAATAAAAAAAAGGTTCAATGGAAGGAAAACTAAAGAGAAAATATAATAAAAAGTATTTCTTTAAGATTATGTGGTTTAAAATAAATAAATACTTTTTCATTGATATTTTTAATTCATATTATTATTTTATTGATAAAATTTTATTTATCATTTTATTTATTAAAATTATTAGCTTTATTTATTATAACAAGATTATTTTAAAAAAAAACTCAATTCCCCCATTATTAATAAATTGATTAACTAATATTTCTAATTAAACAAGTGAGAGATATTTTTAAATATTAACATATTCAATTATAATTATTAATTGAAACTTAATTTATAAGGGTTAGTTATTTAAATATAATATAATTATATGTAATACACAACTAATAAATTATTATTTTTAATTATAGTATGAGAAGATGGAATTATTTGGATGTCAAGTTAAATTTCTAGAAGACGGAAATGTGGTCAGTATCACATCATAAAAGTGAAGTAAAGAGTCGAATAAAAGTAGTTTATCTGCTTTGTGTTTTGCGTAAAGGTGTTGCTTTAAGTCCAATAAGTTTTACGATGTTTGTAAAATTATATCTAGTTTTCCTACCTTCTTAATTCATTATCAAAAATTATTCTACATGATCTTTAGATTATTGATTTTCACAACATAACATATATGAATCATAATAAGAGAACTAACCTTGATCCATGAAAATCTATTACTTAATCTTCTCGTTCTCCAATCTTCTTTTCCCAATCTATCTCTTTGTTTTTCTTTCTCTTCTCACGCTTTCTTGATAGTTTACCGTGAAAAACTTTATGACCAGAGCATGTAACCCTTATTTTATTTTATTAACCAACGTCCATCAAGTTGGTTACCGTAAGTTAATATTTTTATTTTATTTTTATTTTATTCTAACTTCACATAATAATCAATAGGTCATCATATTTTATTAAATCACATTTGGGCCCATTATTATATTTCACATGAGTCACATAATGTCATACGATTCTGTGATTTAATACTTAAGTCATAATGCGCATTAAAGGACCTTACATAAATTGGTTCCATCATCATTCATAATTAAAGACACAGTTATAACAAGAGTCATATCGATTACATGTCATTCAATCGACAGACTCCCTTCCATGTACCACTATATTATCTCTTTCTCCTTAATATGACTTTATAATGAGAAGTTCATAATGAGTTCAAACATAATATCATTTTAATAATAATAACATAATTTGTTTTCTTCATCATAATTTGCATGCATATAAATAAAGAAGAAAACACAAATTTCAGAAACTTATAAATTAAAGATCTCAGAGTGTCACATAAGCATTAATAATAACATTAACATTCAACATTCACTAGTGAACATAATGCCCACATTCATTATATGGCCAAGCAAATAATTTGGGCGATAATCCCTTTGTTAAAGGATCAACAATCATAAGATCAGTGCTAGTATGTTCTATTGACACTCTACGTTTCTGAACTTCTTCTTTAACGGCAAAGTATTTCAATTCCATATGTTTAGCACCTTTGGAATACTTGTCGTTCTTAGAAAAGAAGAATGTTGCAGAATTGTCACAATAAATTTTCAGCGGCTTGACAATGCTGTCTGTAACGTCATTTTTTTTCTTCTAATTTATTTAATTTCTCAAAAATGGGAATAATTTTTTTTTTACAATATTATTTCTTTATGACAATGAACTTTAAAACTGATCATGCGTTAATGAATATATATAGATGTGTCGAACATATTCATACATATACATCTATAATCATAATACATTGTTTTCCAAAATAACTAATCCAACAAGGATCATACTATAATTACATAAAGTTTGTACCTTTAAACGATTAGAACTTAATTTTAAATATATACATCTCAAAATAAGGCAAATCCTAATCAGAGCAGGTACCCAAAATTTCTAATTTTCTTATACAAGATCATACCCCTCCCGGAGGGCAGCATTCTTCCATACATATGTATATGATACTCAATCAAACTGTGGTTCCTCCACCATAATTGTTCCATCATTACCTGAAATATAACAATAAGGATGAGTTTCCTTTTCTCATCACTCCAGAACACTAAACCGAAAATTTTTCCAACCTCTACAATCTAAAACAATATGTAACATTTATAGTCAAACATTTCATTTTTTTCAATAAAGTATCCCACACAGAAATTTCAAACAATTTCCACAAATCACATTACTCAAACTAAAAATACACAATACATGTTTGTGTTTCATTCGTTCATTTTTGCCACATTTGAAATGCTCATGCACCTAGGATACACTATCAATCACATCTTTCAATCTATGAAAGGATCACACATAAGTATAGACAACTCTCACAAACATAACAAAATTACACACGAGCATAAATGGCTCACAGAAGTATAGATAGTTGCCGGTTGATCTGCGCATCACAGATACAATGCTTACGCATAACGATCCCTTGGCAAAAAGGCAAAGTCAAAGAGTCAAGTCGGGAGTATAGAGCGTGGCCAAACAATGCACTCTATATTTCCCCAAGATCAATCTAATCTTCTCTTATCTCCTAAGCCCCCGGTGTATCTCCGTACCATCCACACACATATCTCGTCACTGAGTGACACCACTAACTCTTTAACAACAATATATTTGGTAGGAACAAACTCTACATCATACAGACCATATCACTATAGACATAATACCCTATTTTTAGATGACCAACATCTCTGACTTAGACTCAACACATAGCACAAACATCTTATAGACATGATTTCCACTAACTACCATGATTATGAATGCATTACCTATTCATAACGTTTCTTTATACCATTCTTATTAAGCTTTATTGATTTTTCATCAATTTCAAAAATTTGACAGAGTCTCCTTTGTAATTTGGACGTTTCCCAATTTACAAATACATTCAAATCAAATTTATAAACACATTTTCCTGCATCAAACAAGAACAATAAAAATTTGCCGAGAGTCGGACACTCTCGGACTCAGCACACATTGCGATCCATCAAATTTTCTAAACTCTTGTTATTCTAATCTTGTGTCCCAAAATATCTCATTACACTATCACTCTCACATCATACATACTCATAAAATAAATAATAGATACAAAACTAAAGTTTTGTTTATACTTCTCTAGGAAGAAAAGTTTATCATAAGCATTAGAAAAGTGTAACTTTGGAAAAATTCTTTGCTATCTAAACTAACTCCAAATTCTATGAAATTTTCCAGTCCAAAATACATATATTCTAGGATTATAATAAAAATTATAACTCAAAATTTAAAGATTTCTAAGTCATTCAAAACTTTCCTCCCTTTTCATACATTTTGAAGATTCCACTATCAGGGCATTACTCAAAGATATATTTTTATAAAATAAATTAGTGGTTATAAAATTATGAAAATAAATATTCTTAACATATACATACAATCACAACTATGATAAAACTTTCATCTCAAAAAACTTTAATTTCATCTTTATATGATTTTTCAAAGTTGCTGAGCGGACATAACAATTCTGTTTCACCCAACTCAAAACCTATTTACTTCCAAGATTTTTCATCGAAACTTAACTGGTCAGAAAATTTTGAAATAAATCACACATGAACTAGACATACAAAGGAACATGTAATCAAAATTTCAGAATTAAATACCAAGTAAATATTTTTACATAATTTCCCAAAGATTCTATTCACATGCAGATTTTTGTCGAATAACATCTCTCAACACATATTTCATCATCTTCCTCTAGAAAAATCCAATTTAAGTTATTTTTATGGCTAACTCTAGGTTTTAACATCCAAGGAATCCATTTCTAAACTCTAAAATATGAAAGGAGCATTGTAGAGTATCTAAATATACTAGAATAGCCATACGAAATTTTTATAAAACATTTTAGTTTG